ATCCCTGTGGCTACCTCTTTCAGAAACTACCTGCCAAGTGGATTTTTTTCAAGAAGAGAGAAAAGCATGTGAACTACATAGATAAGGAAAGGAGGAAAATGGCAAAATCATTAAAATAAAATCCAAGGCATGTTGGAGAGTGTGTGCTCATGTCTTCGTGCTCAGATGTAAGGATGTATTATATTAACTATCAGTTAGTTAATGGTAAAACAATGATAGAAGTGAAGAAAAATATACAAAGTTTGTATTAATCAAATCATCCTTAATAAATTAAAAGGCAAATTAAGATGTGAGTCAATGTTTACATTTTCCATAATAGAAAAAAATGTGTCATTTTTTTCCTTTTTATTCATTTATTTCCTTATATTTATTGCAGTAACATTGTTATTGCAGTAGCATTGGTTTATAACATTGTATAAATTTCAGGTGTACATCATTATACTTCCATTTCTGCATAGATGACATCATGTTCTCATGTTCACCACCAAAATAATAATAACAATCTATCACCACACATATGTGCCTAATTATCCCTTTCGCCCTCCTCCCTGCCCTGTTCCCCCTCTGGTAATCACCAATCAAAAATTTGTCATTAGTAATGCCTAGAGAATGCAGTTTATTAGAGAAAGAAAAAAATCATTAAGGAATGCTTTAGTTTGGGGAGGGGGCAGAAAAGACCTCTCTAAAATATGAATGACTGAGCTGTGAGATGAAGGATGAGCAACTGTTAACCAGGGGAAATAAAGAATGGGTGAGCATTCTGTGCTGAGAGAACAGAATTCACGGTTGCACTGTGGATCAGTGAGCTTTGGAAATGGAAAGGATTTGAGAGGCCAGCAATGGAGAACAGAGAGTGAGGGTCAGGAGGGCACGGGGGTGAGCCCACAAGTCCAGCACCCTGTACTATTCCTTGATGTGCCTCTCACATTTGGAGTTTTATGTTTATTTGTGGGTCAGAGGACATGATTGTTTTTGCTCACCATACTTACCCGGTATCTGACACAGAGTAGGTGCTCAACACATGCAAAAGTTAGATGTATAATAAAGATTTAGACCCAAAGCATCAACTATGACACAGAAAAGAAATCTTCAAGCTTATATATGCCTGATACGGACACTAAAATGAATAGTAAAATTAATTCAAATATATTCATATATATTTTAAGAGAATAATACATCATGAATAAATAATATCTATTCTATGAGTGGAATGCTCGTTTAAAACTGTGATGTTTGTTAACACAATTCATCGCAAAAATAGGTTAATGAAGAGAAATCATAATCATAATCACAAAAGAAAATGCATTTGAGAAAATGTAACAGCCATTGCTGTGGTTAGCAGCCTGGACAGAGTCTCTTGCCAAACGAGGAAACTAAGGATAGTTTCTTCACTCAGTAAAAAATGGTTGTTTTACAATTGTAGCCAACAGGATATTCCACATTAAACCACTAAAATATTTGTGTTAAATTCATGAACAGACCAAGGCAGTCTGTTCCAAATTCAATCACTCAATAGTCACCTGAACATTTAAAGAGATTTGTAAGATGAGAAAAGGAAATTGTGCTGAGTACTGAATGTCAGAAATAATTGTTTTGTTTGTCAATGATATAGTGGACACTAAAGTGGAACAAAAAAAAACAATCAACGCAGAACTACTAAGTGCTCTCAGGAAGTCGAGTCTGCTGCAAAAGTAGTTAGGGAATACGATAGAAAAATACAATCAAGGAGGAATAAAATAGACGATACCTGGTGCACAATAGATCTCCAGTGAGTAGCTAGTGAGTGAATGATTGGACACAGGAAATCCAACAGGAGCCTATGACTATGTGAAATAGTAGAAAAGAGGTGGAGACTCTCTAGGAAATAACTCTTGTCTGAAAGAAGCTCCGGATTCCAAAAGGAATGAGAAGGAAACAGAACAAGAGCTGGAAAAGCCTGGTTTCAGCAGAAACTAAAGTATCTTCAATGTAGAGAGACTTCACCTTTATAGACTAAATAAATGTGGGACTGTCCCAGTCTCATCACTCTAGAGGGAAAGACCAGTACCCACTTTCTATCCTCTTCTACTTCTTACTCCACCAGCCCTCACTGGGACACACTGACCCTCTCTGATGGTTATCACTGAAGCTTTCTCTTCTCTGAGGTCTGTCCCTGGGAAGCCCAATAGGATTTTCTCTAGGCAGGGATCAGAGAATTATAGGACAAGGGCAACAGGGACTTATACTATTGTCTCAAGGACTGAATTCTCAGACCTCCTCATTAAATAAATTGGTCTACTGACTTTCCTCTTTCTAAACAATTCAGCTCCCTTAACGTATAAAGATAAAATAACTGAAAAATTTCAGCCCACTTTGTGTCTATATAGGCAACAGTGGGGGAAGAAGAAAGTATTTTCTCCATGGAGAAATTCTTCTTTCTTTGGTTTGACTTAAAAGTGACAAGGTGTCCCATAGGGAATATTTAATTTCCGTAAGAACCAAACCCAGGAACCGACTTTCTGTGATGTTCTTCCTTTGAAGAATCTTCAGAGCTTTTATGGATTACCTGATATCCATGGTGTCATGGAGGCCAAGAAGTCCTTTCTGAAGAAAAGCAGAGTGGTTAATAGTTTTCATTTTGTTGAAAAAGACTAATCAAATGAGGACAGAAAATACCCCTTGATGTTTGCTGTTGACATGGAAGCCTTTGTTGATATTAGGGAAGGCTCCATTTAATGCCACTTAGTAGAGGGGCAGGGGCAGAAATAATCCAGGTAGAGATGGTTGAAGAGTGAGTATTGAAGAAACATAGTGGCAAATATAAATCATATGTAAAGTTTGTCAGAGGAGAGGATGACAGTGGTAAAACATTGCCTAAAGAGAGTATGGAGTATGAGAGAGAGAAAAAAAATAATTTAAAGGAAGCTATAGGGAGATATTGAATTTCAAAGAGAATGATCCTATTTCATGCAGACATTTGAATACGCAGGAAATGCTGACTACACAAGTCAAAGGATGCAGTATACACTGTAAACCAATGACAATCATAGTGTGCTATATCTCCTGTTTAGGGAATACATGAGTCCCCAAATCAAATGTTGGAAGTGGAAGCAGCCTCGTCTAACAGCACTGCCAGTGAACCACTTGGGGGGTTTGTGCTTCAGGTCTCCACACTCCTGGCCTCTGCAGGTTTAGAGGTCTTGCTTCCTAAAGGGAAAACACTTCCAAGGACTTGGAAAAAGTCCCATTAAACTTCAAGCTATGGGGCGACCTGGCACTTCAGATCTTGCATGCCAAGAAGAGGAGTCACTGTCCTGGAAAGATAATTGACATGCTCATCAATGTCATTGTGTGATCATGGCAATGGGCCTGCAGTGGTACCCTGCTGTGCTCAGTCAGTGGCTGGGAGCAGCCCAGGAGCAACGTCAGTGCAAACACAGTGGTGGATGCAGATGGCTGTCAGTCAGTTATGCTCCCACAGCAAGAGATCTGAGTGGTGTGATCTTAAGTGTGGCAGGTCTCTTTAGCTGAGGGCAATTCTGAAAGAGTGCTGTGGGCTGGGGGCTGTCAGAAGGCTGCACCTCCAAACCAGAAAGAATAAGCCCTTAATCCTGAAGAAGGTCTGAGCAATGCAGCATAGCACTCACTAGAGTCCATCCCTTGGGACATGTGGATCAACATTTTAACATTACATTAGTTCTAGATGTACAACACAATTTTATAATACTTGTATGTGCTGGGAATTATCACCTCGATAATTCTAGCTAACATCCATCACCACAGGTGTTACAAATTTTTTCTTGTGATGAGAAAATTTAAGGTCTACTCTCTTGGCAACTTTCAAATATACAATACGGCATTATTAACTATAGTCACTTTTTGTACATTCTATCCCGGGACTTATTTATTTTATAACAGGAAGTTTGTACCTTTTGACCACTTTCACCCATTCACTCCCACCTCTGGCAACTACCAATCTGTTCTCTGGATTTCTATTTTTGTTTTTTGTTTGTTTGTTTGTTTGTTTTTAAGTCTGTCTTGATCAGTATGTTAAAGAAGAATGAACCATGTGTCAATAATACTTACCCTGGCAATTTAAATATGCTTTAACTTTAGGAAATCTTTTTATATTCATTTCTTGCATAAATATATGAATACAAAGGCTGGCAAGTTCAATAGAAAACAAAATGTATTTAATTATTTTAACAGTCACTGCTGCAAATGGTGAGGTGTACGTGTATGGGGGGATGCAGGGTCTCAAAGTAGGACAATAAGGACATATCCTTCAAATGGTATATAACGTGCATTTTTCAATGAAAAATATTCTTTTGAACATGGAAGCATTAAGAAAGGAGAATTAATGAACATCCAAGAATTGCTGCTAGGAACGATAAGTATTTAATATTATTCTGATAATTCAAACAAATGCATAAGATGAAAAAAGAAAGAGGACATAAGCGTTGTAAATCAAAGACAAGTGAATCATTACTAATAGATAAGATTTTGGAGCTTGAGAGGCCTCAGATCTCTGATGATGCAGCCCTGTTTGGATCCTTCATCATCTATTTCAAGAAATCCCCTAGAGCAGTTGCTTTCAAATTTTAGCCATGCATAAGATCCACCTGGATGGCTTGTTAAACACAAATGGCTGAGTTAGACCTTAGGGTTTCTGATTTAGTAGATCTAGGATGATAGACAAAAATTTGCATGTCTAACAAGCTCCCAGGGGATGCTTATGCTGCTGGTCTGGGGACACTTTGAAAAACACTTGTTTGTATTCCTAGTACTCTGGTCTAGTAAAAGTTTCCCCTCCACTCTTTATATCTTCCCTCCCCTGTCCCATCCCCAGTGTTTACTAGGATACAGGGGCTCTTTCAGATGGCATCATGGAAACCCCTGGGGCCCCGGGCTTTGTCTACTATAATGACTTTTCCCCAGGAAGTATAGGGAGAAGATCCAGGCAGGGAATTCAGAACTCATATCACTGGGAAGCCTCAGATGATTTTCTTGGGACACTGGAACTTTATTTAAGGTTTCTAGGACAATTGGGGGCTGAATTCTCAGAGCCTCTCATTAAATAAATTGTTCTATTTTCATTCCACTCTTTAAACAATCAAACTCCCTTGAGGTAGGACAATAATAGAAACAAAACTTTCTGCTACTTCTGTTTCCCTGAAGACAGCTGTGGAGAGGGAGAAACTTCTTTCTTACAATTATTCTTTCCATATCTGGTACATTTACACATTTGCAGTCAATAAGATCATTCTCCTATAAATCAAAATATTTCTTTATCTTCCTTCAAAAATGTCTTGCAGGTCTCCTTACTATATTGCCCAAATACTTGCCTTCTCATCGTAAGATTTAATTTAGAAGTTAGGGCTTTTTCCCCTAGGGATATTTTAATGTTATTAAGAGCCCAACAAAACTGACACTCAGAATCCTACTTTCACAAAAGTGAAATGGTTGAGAAAGGTGCCTATTTGCAAAATGAGAAAGAAGTGTCTGGGGAAGAGGCAGAATCCCCCTCGCCCTTTCCCTTAAGGTTCTTATGGCTGCCCAAATAATCAACAAGACAGGTTAGCAGGAGAAAATAATACCAAGTTTAATAACATGTATACATGGGAGAAACTCAGAAATGAGCAGCTCGTTCCTCTGTCTAAACTACTTGTTTAAGTATTGTAGCTAAAGGCGAGGAAGGTGTTGGGCGTGGGTAGTGGTCTGGGATTTTAGAGGGGAAGAAGACAATTCACATGGAGATAGAAATGCAAATGTTTGTCTGACAATTCTTTTCAGGGCCATCTATAGAGAATGTGGCCAGGGAGAGATAGAGTTTCGGTAAGAGGGGCTTGGTGCCTTTCCTATTGTAACATCTATTTTACGTTATCATTACACCCATCATGATAATAACTCCTTCCTGAAACAGATCTTTTGTTTTAAATTCTTTAGACAGTTTGGGAGGGGAAACTCAAATATTATTCCCGAATTTTCTGAGTATTTATTGTCATCAGCTTGAAATAATCCACATACCAGAGTGGTGCTTCCTGGGGTAACTTGCCCTGAGCACCATCAGAAGCCATTAGTGATGTTGCTACCGAAAAATCAAGCATTTTGAAGAATGGAAATATCCATTAGAATTTATTGGGCACATGATGTTACTGCCGACCTCAGGGAGAGCAATTGTGAGAGAGGTAGATAGACTCCAGAAGAGTTGGTTGAAGAGACAGTGAACAGAGCGGAAATGGATCTTACAAATATAGATCAAATTCTCCAAAGTTTGGAGCAATACCAAAAGAGTAGTATGAGTCTATGAGAGAGTGTCATTTTCATTAAAAGAAATGGGAATTTGGAACATTCCCATGACATTGCAAATTATAACATTGCATGCAGACATTGGTATATACAGGATAAAGAAAGGATAAGGGATAGCATAATTTCCCTCAAAAGTTAGGAAGCGATAGGATTCAAAGTTTATGTAGAGATTTTATGGAGCAATTGTTAATTACATAGTTATAGAAATAAAAAAATTATAAAAATAACTATTCAATTACAGTGGTAGCTAAAGTTGCAGTGGATGGTATAGTGTCCAATGAAAGCATACATCTACTAGGGTCTCATAATCAAAAACTGAAGGATAATGATTAGAATTCAGCCAGGCATCATCCTGTCTTTCTAACTCCCAGTTCTCTTCTCAACAGGAGCTTTTTCCTCTTTCTGTACAATTACTTGATTTATCCTGCTATCCACGCAGACTGATGATCGCCAGACCAATACATTTGACCTCTGAGATAATAGCATCGATGGGGTGTTCTGTTGCTCCCTCACCTCAATCTTTCCAAGATTCAACTGAAGTTTTATCTTCCCTAAAATGTTACTTTCCCTGTTATCCCATCTCTTTGAAAGCTAACTCCATCAACTACGGCACCCATGGAATTGAACTACTCAAGTGCTTCTCAGTCAGTCTGATTTTGCTCCCTAAAGGACAAGTAGCAATATCTGGAGACATTTCTGCTTATCACAACTCAGTCCTGGCATTTAGTGAGTAGAAGACAGGCTTCTGTTAAACATCTTACCTTACACAGGACATCACCTAATGACAAGTAATGATACAGAACAAAATGTCAATATTGTGGTGGGTTAGAAATCCTGGTAAAGATTTTTGAAGACTAATGCTAAAATTTTATCTAAAAAATCTCAATCATTCTGTTATTTTATAATGAGATTGAAAATATTATCTGACAAAATCTCACAACCTTTCTCCATTATTTTGTGCCACTTCATATTTTTATTGTGGTTTAATTATTATAACATAAAACGTACCATTTTAACAATTTTCAGTGTACAATTTTGTACACTTGTCATTAAGTATATTTGCAATGTTGTGCAGCTACTGCCACCATCCATCTACGGAACTTTTTCATTTTCCCAATCTGAAACTCTGTCCCCATTAAACACTAACTACTCATCCCCATCCCCCACTCCTTGGCATCCAACATTCTACTTTCCGTCTGTGTGAATTTAATTCCTCTAGCCATCTCATAAAACTGGAATCATACGATACTTATCCATTTGGAATAGATCAATTTTGACATTTCAGAACCTGAACTTCAGATATCCCCTTTCGTTCTCAAATTTGCTCCACCCATAGCCCTCCCTGTCTCAATGGAGACAACTCCAATCTTTCAGTTGTTCAGGCTCCCTGGGGTCATTCTTGTCTCCTCTCTTTCTCTCAAAAACACATCCTGACTGACAGCAAATCCTCTTGGCTCTACCTGCAGAATACAGCCAAAGTGACCACTTCTCAATCCTTACCGTACTCTATACCCAGGTCCTAGCTGCCTATATCTCACCAGGCATGCTGCAGTCAGCTCCCAGCAGGCCTCCTCACACCCTACAATCCAATCTCAACCCAACAGTCAGAATGATCTTTTACAAGACTAATTATGTCACGTGTCTCCTCAAAACCCTGCAATGACTCCCCATATCACTCAGAGTAAATGAAAACAAAGTCCTTCAATGATAGAGAAAGCCTCACATGATCAGTCCTGATACCTGTCTTCCACTTTTGCCATGCTCCTCATCATTTTCTCTCCTCCAGCTCCATTCCCCCAAGGCTACCTCCCACCTCAGTGTCTCTGTATTAACCTTACTTTCTGCCTGAGATACTCTTTCTCAATTGAATAAACAAATGTGATTCTGAAGAGGTTTCCAATGGCATTGTCTCCTGACCACAGTTGATTTCTCCAAGGTGGGAATAGGTCATGATTTTGTCAATTAGAATCCTTTTCTGAGATTTTTTTTTTTTACACACTCGGAGCTAAAATAAATCCAGTATTCTCCTTAGTTGTGAAGTTTTGAGATGTGAGTTGTGAGAGCTGCTGGTTTCAGTATCTCTTCCCACGTGGGGTTAGCCAGTATGAGAAAATAAAGGTGAAAATCTGAATGGAAATCTTCACAGTGCTTGAGCCCCTGTGTCTAGTGTCAGGCTAAGCCTCTGCTCAAGTATATTCAGATGAATCAGGAAATTCTCTTCTATTCTTTGCCAACAAGCAGACCTGTGTGGTGTAGCCTTAACTTTACATGAGCCAGGACCACGTGATGATGTACCCAATGAAGGTCAACAAGGCGTGCCATAACAGAACCTTGGCATTCTCAGCTCAAGGCTTTATCAATAAATTCTTGGCAAATTCTAACTCATACACATCTCTTGTGATAGTTTGAATAATAGCCTCCAAAGAGATCTGTGTGCTAATCTCCAGAAACTTTGCCTATGTCACCATAGGTGGCAACAGGCACTTTGAAGATGTGAGAAATTTAAGGATCTTGAGATGAGAAAATTATCCTGAACTATCATGGTGGGCTTAGTGTAAGCACAGGCATCCTTACAAGGGAGGCAGTAGGTCTATGGAGAAATTTGAAGATACTATACTGTTGACTTTTAAGATAGAGAACGGGGTCACAAGCCAATGAATGCTCAGGGTCTATAGAATTAGGAAAAGGCAAGGAAACAGATTCTCCTCTAGAGCCTCCTGAAGGAAAGCATCCCTGCTGACACATATTAGGTTTCTGACTTCCATAATTGCTAGATAATAAATTTGTATTATTTTAAGCCACTAGACTTACTGCAATTTGTTACGGCAGCAATAGGTAAATAATACATCTTTCTTCCCAAATCTGCTTATCTCAATCCTACTGTTTTAGGTCAGATCCCCATCATCTCTCCCCTGAATTATTTCCAAAGCCTGCTCACTGTTACCTCTGCATCCCATTTCTCCCACTCAAGGGAAATCCTAAAGTCCTCATATTATACATATGATTCCAACAAGACTCTGGTTCTCAATGCTTATAAAATCTTTAGTATGTCAAACTATACTCTCAATGGTCTGTCCTCCATCTAGGTATCCAAACTGATTTCTTATATCTCAGCCATAAGTTACATATACCTTCCTGATATGCCTCACTCTTGAATGCTAACTGAATATATTCTCCAGTTAAGCTTCTACTCATTATTTTTACTCAACTTCCAAGCATTTTCTCCTTTTAGAATTTTTCCTGAATACCCAGTGTTGGCTAAGATATGGGAAAATGGGTACCCTCATGCATTCCTGGTGGGAATGTAAATTGGTGCAGCCACTTTGGAAAATAGTTTGCCAGCTTCTTAAAAAGTTAAGCATGAATCTCCCACATAGCCCAGTAATTGCACTCCAAGGTGTCTCCCCAAGAGAGATGAAAATGAATGTCAACACAGAGACACGTGCACAGATGTTCACAGTAGCATTATTCATAATGACCCCAAACTAGAAATATCCAAATATCCATCAGATGGTAACTGAATATGCAAAATGTGTTATATACAGACAATAGAATACTATTCTGCAATGAAAAGGAACAAAACATTGATACATACTTCCACATGGGTGAGCCTCAAAAACGTAGGCTAAGTGGAAGAAGCCAGATACACAAGACCACATATTGTATGATTCTGTTCATACAAAATATCTAGAAAAGGCAAATTTATATGGACAGAAAGTGACAAGTGGTTTCCTAGGTAGGAGTGGGAATTAACTGTGATTGGGCACAAGGGAATTTTTGGAGGTGACACACATATTCCAAAACTGGATTGAGGTAATGATCACATAAATCTATAAATTTACTAAAATCATTGAATTTACATTATCAATGGGTGAATTACATGTATGTAAATTACACCTTAGTAAAAAAGTTAAAAAATAAATGTCTAAAGAGTTTCCCTGGAATTACTCAAGGTGAGTTGAAAAATTTTACCTTTGTTTTCCACAGAATCTGTTACACACCGATTATATTTTGCTCACCACTCTATATCGCAATCGATTGCGTCTCTCTGGTCCTCTCCTCTATTTGTCCACAGTAGACAATAAGTGCACATTAGATTAAACTTAGTGGAATCAAAGTGAATTGAAGCCACATCAAATAGGTCTTCCATCTTAACAAATTATAATTTTTGAGCAATTTTGCAGTCTTTACTGTGTCTCCAATAACTACTTTCTTTTTTCTCTCTTGATGTCTGTAAATCCATTCATGATATTGTCTTGATACACCACAGTCTTGATCATATATGCTAGTTTTGGTTCCCACAGAAGCACACTGAGCCAAGGATTCATAAACAAGCGCTTTATTGGAAGGAGCAATGAACATGGATGGGAGAGAGGAGTAGTGGATACAGGGAAGAAAATACATCCAATAAAGCTTGCATTAGATTAGCTACCACTATGACTGAGCAGAGTTTTCATCCTGTGGGGAAATTCTGGAAAGTGATCCAAAATGCAAACCTCAAAATTACCTCAACTAAAGTGTGAAAGACATGGCAACCACACACTCTCCCTCAAAGGCTGTCTCTGATGGAGCATAATTCTCTGTCACTTATAGGACCATATAATGGGTAAAGTAGGTTCCAGCTGGTGCTGGCCATTGGCAGTCATGCAATAGAGATGGGGAGAGGATCCCCGGGAATGTGGGAGGAATGCTTACAGCATCTGTGACTCCATCCTTCTCTGCAGACTCAACTCTACCAATATTCTTCTCAAAAAGCGAGCAAAGTTCTGAACACATTCTGAACATGTGTAACTATGATTCCTGTGTTACCTCCAGAGAGTGTCAAAAAAAAAAAATGAAACCATATGAAAAAAACCTTTGATTCAATTGTATTCATTACTACATGTTTTAGGATTTTGGAGGATCTGATTCAAAATTGCAATCATGGGAAATAAACATCAAATGAAAAAAGGAAAAGAAGGAAGGAGGGTAGGAAGGAAGGAAGAAAAGAGTGAAGGAAGGAAGGAATAATGAATGGAAAGAAGGAAGGGAAAATGTAGGAAATAAAAGAAGGAAGGAAGAAAGGAGGGACGGAAGGAAGGATGGATGGAAGGAAAGAAAGAAGAAAAGATAGAACGAAGAATGCAAAGATGTATCACAAAGAATGAAGCAACATCTCTGAGTTATTCTAGTTGGTATATTACTACGAATCATCTGAAAAAAAAAAAAAACAGCTTTCAAATCTACTTTCCTACTTTGAAGTTGAAAATCACATCACTGTTCTCCTAAAAAGTAGGATAGCAAAGTCAGTGTCAGCTAGCCAGGTCATAGTCCAACTCAATCTCAGTTTCTTCTTTTGAAAAGTGGGGTGAATGAGAGAAAATATCTCAAAGAAACATTTTCAAGATGAAGTAAAGTCATACATGTGAAGAAACAAGCACAGTGCTGATGTGGTAAGCACTTGCTGTGGCTACTCTATCATTTTGAATCCATTTCTTCTGGAGAAAATAAGTTCACAAACAAACTAAGGTGAAGAACATCAACATTTGAAAGGATAATTTTAGGGGTACCATGTCAGCACTTGATATGATAAGTGGTTTAAATCTCAAGTTAGAAATCTTAAGAATTTCTCAAGAAAGCTAACCAAACATGGAACTTTCTGAATATCATATAAGCAATAAAACTCAAAAACAAATTACCGAGGAGGTTGTTGAGGAGAAACTAATATAGACAAATAAAAGTGAAGACATGGGTGTTTCGGGAATTGAGAAATAGAGCATGTCTTTTAGGGGCGAGAAAGAACGAGGGGATTTAAATTCACAAAGTTTACCTTTGGCGCCAACCATGTCCACTTTGTTCTAAAGCCAGTGACCCATCATGGAGAAGAATCTGCCCAGCTGAGTAGCCTTCTCTAGGCCCCCTTCACATCCTTGTTCCTCAGGCTGTAGATGAATGGGTTAAGCATGGGGGTGACCACAGTGTACATCACTGAGGCGATCGAGATTCTGTGGGAAGAATGGGTCACAGCAGCACTGAGGTAGACCCCTAGGCCTGTCCCATAGAACAACGAGACCACAGAAAGATGAGACCCACAGGTGGAAAATGTTCTATATTTTCCTCCTGCAGAGGACATCTTCATTAAGGAGGAGACAATCTGAGAGTAAGAAAAGAAGATCCCAATGAGTGGAAACACACCCACCAGGGCAGTGGCTACATACAGGATGATGTCATTGATGAGGGTGTCAGAGCAGGCCACCTTGAGGACCTGAGCCAGTTCACAGAAGAAATGTGGAATTTCAGTGTCTATACGGAAGGTCAGCCACCTCAACAGTAGAATATGAAGGAGGGAGACCCAGAAAATGATGAACCAAGAAATCAGAACCAGGCGGACACAGAGGCGTGGGTTCATGATGACCATGTAGTGCAGAGGGTGGCAGATGGCCACAAACCGGTCATAGGCCATCACAGTCAGGAGGAAATTGTCTATTCCAGCAAAAAACATTGAAAAATAGACCTGAGTGAGGCATCCTATGTAGGAAATGTCTTTACTCTGTGCCTGGATGTTCACTAGCATCTTTGGGATGGTGGCGGAGACAAAGCAGATGTCCACAAAGGACAAGTTGGAGAGGAAGAAGTACATGGGGGTGTGGAGGTGGGAGTCAGAGCTGATGGCCAAGATGATGAGTAGATTCCCAAACATGGTGACCAGGTACATTGACAAGAACACTCCAAAGAACAAGGGTTGCAGTTCAGGATCCTCTGAGAGACCCAGGAGGAGGAATTCAGAGACTTGTGTGTGATTTCTAGCTTCCATGTAGCTTGTGTGTAGAGAGACAAAAGCAAAGTTCAATGAATATCCAGTTGGCACCTCTGCTAGTCAGCACCTCTTGATTCCACCTTTAGGTGGACAAACTTCACCTTCTGTTGAGTCTTTCCAATGACAGTGATTCACTCAGTCAAGTTGTAGCCCAGTTCCATTTTAACTGTAATTATTTAGCCTTTGGAAAATTCAGCAGACATCTCTTTTCGTCTCCTACTCACTCATTCAAATCATATTTGAGACTATGGGCATTAACCAATTTCTTCTATACATGACACTTCCAAAGTAATTGAAGACATTAAATTTATTTTCTTTAAAAATATCCATACTTCTTTCATTCTAATGGCTCTGTATTTGTTATTAAAATGTGGATTCTATCTCAAATAACCTTAACTCTATGAGTTGATGCTTCCTATTGATGTCACAGTTAACACTCAGGTGTTTTATTTATTTTTATTTTATTTTTAAAAATGTGGTTACTACTATTCCCTTCTTTGAGGTTTAGAAATGGCTTGTGTACAGTATGATCTCAATTAATGATAGCTATATTATCATTATTAATATGTTCCTTTTATGACAATTATTTTTGATATGTAACTCTCCCAAAGTACAGTATAGAGACATGATTTAGAAAATGGGATCTTGAGTCAGACTTGCTAGAATGGAATTTTGCTCCACCCACTATTTGTGTGGCCTTGATAAAGTCATTTAATCTCTCTTAGCTGCAGATACCTCACCTCTACAATGGGAGTAGTCAATATTCCCTACATTGTAAGAGTGATGTGTGAATCAAATGAGATGAGACAAGTACTTTTTCTAGTGCGGTTCTGGTGACATACAGTGGACACTTGATAAATTTGAGCTTCTGTTCTTAATATCACAATAAATCTGTCTTGAATGGCTGTCATTTATCAAATTTCCTTTAAACTGGGGCAGCCATCAAGGATGGAATTCTGTTCATTATAAACACAACAGGTCTGTTACCTCTTTTGACCACCATGCAGCACCTCTAATGAATGAAGATCCCTAGGGCTCCCTTTTTCAGAGACTGCCTGGACTCTTCCAAGAAGTGAGAAAAGCATGTGAACTACATAGATAAGAAGAGGGGGGAAATCACAAAATCATTAAAATAAAGTACAAGGCATGTTTGAGAGTGTGTGCTCATGTTTTCATGTTCTGATGTGCGGCTATATTATATTAACGATCAGTATAATTAACGGTAAAAGAATGGTAGAACTGACGAAAAACATACAAAGTTTGTATTAATCAAATCATCCTTATGAAATTAAAAGGAAAATTAAGATATGAGTCAATGTTACACTCTCCATGATGGAAAAGACTTGTCATTATTATGGCCTAGAGAAAGCAATTAGAGAGAGGAAAAAAATCATTGAGGATCACTTTAGTTTGGGGAGGTTGGCAGAAAAGTCCTACCTAAAATTTGAATAATTGAGCTGAGACGAAGGATGAGCCATTGTTAAGCAGGGAAAATAAGGAATGGGCAAGCATTTTGGGCTGAGAGAACAAAATTCACGGTTGCCCTATTGATCAATGAGCTTAGAAATGGAAGGGATTTGAGAGGCCAGAGATAGAGAACAGAAAGTAAGGGTCAGGAGGACAGAGGGGGTGAGCCCACAAGTCCAGCATCCTGTACTATTCCTTGACGTGCCTCTCACATTTGTAATTTTATGTATGTTTGTGGTCAGAGGACGTGACTCTTTTTGCTCACTATCGTCTTTCCAGGAATTTACATGGCATCTGGCACGTCGTAGGTGCTCAACACATGCCGATGTTAGATGAATAATAAAGATTTAGACCAAAGCATCAACTTCGACACAAAAAAAAAATCTTCAACCTTACGTATGCCTGAATAGAGACACAAAATTGAATAATAAAATTAAATCAAATACATTCATATCTATTTTAAGAGAATAATACATCATGAATAAGTAATATTGATTCTATGAATGGGAAACTGGTTTAATACTGTGATGTTTGTTAATATAATTCATCACAAAAATAGGTCAATGAAGAGGAATCATAACTATAATCACAACAGAAAATGCATTTGAGAAAATGTAGCTGCCGTTACTGTGGTTAGCAGCCTGGACAGAGTCTCTCGGAAAATGAGGAAACTAAGGATGATTTCTTCAACTAACAAAAAATGGTTGTTTTACAACTGCAGCCAATAGGATATTCTACATTAAAACACTAAAATATTTCTGTTAAATTCATGAACAGACCAAGGCAGTCTGCTCCAATTTCAATGACTCAATAGTCACCTGAATATTTAAAGAGATTTGTAAGATGAGAAAAGGAAATTGTGCTGAGTACCGAACATCAGAAATAATTGTCTTATTTGTTGATGATATTGTGGACATTGAAGTGGAACACCAAAAACAATCAATGCAGAACTATTAAGCGTTCTCAGGAAGTTGAGTCTGCTGCAAAAGTAGTTAGGGAATACAATAGACAAATACAATGATGAAAAAAATAGACAATACCTGGTGCACAATAGACCTCCAGTGAGTAGCTGGTGAGTAAATCATGGAACACAGGAAAACTAACAGGAGCCTACAACTATGGGAAAGAGTAGAGAAGAGGTGGAGAGTCTCCAGAAAATAACTTTTATCTGAAAGAAGCTCTAGATTCCATAAAGAATGAAAAGGAAACAGAACAAGAGCTGGAAAAGCATGGTTTCAGTAGAAACTAAAGTATCTTCAATGTAGAGAGACTTCACCTTCCTAGACTAAATAAATATGGGACTATCACAGTCTCATTACTCAAGAGGGAATGCCCTGTACACACTTTCTCTCTTGTTTTCCTTCTTACTCCACCAGCCCTCACTGGGACACACTGACCCTCTCTGATGGTTATCACTGAAGCTTTCTGTTCTCTGAGGTCTGCCTTTGGGAAGCCCAATTGAGTTTTCACTAGGCAGGGATCAGAGAATTATAAGGCAAGGGCAACAGGGACATACTATTCTTGTCTCAAGGACTGAAGTCTCAGAGCTCCTCGTTAAGTAAATTGTTCTACTGACTTTCCTCTTTCTAAGCACTTCAGTTCCCTTAAAGTACAAAGATAAAATAATGGAAATCTTTTCAGCCAACTTTGTGTCTGTATAGGCAAGAGTAGGGAAAGAAGAAAGTATTTTCTCCATGGAGAAATTCTTCTTTCTTTGGTTTGACTTAAAAGTGACAAGGTGTCCCATAGGGAATATTTAATTTCCATAAGAACCAAACCCAGGAACCAACTTTCTGTGATGTTCTTCCTTTGAAGAATCTTCAGAGATTTTATGGATCACTTGGTATCCACAGTGTCATGGGGGCAAAGAAGTCCTTTCTGAAGAAAAGCAGAGTGGTTAATAATTTTCATTTTGTTGAAAAAGACTAATCAAATGGGGAGAGTAAATACCCCTTGATGTTTGTTGGTGACATGGAAGCCTTTATTGATACTAGGGACGGCTCCATTTAATGCCTCTTAATAGAGGAGCAGGGGCAGAAATAATCCAGGTCGAGTGCGTTGAAGAATGAGTATTGAAGAAATATAGTGGCAAATATAAATTATATATAAAGTTTGTCAGAGAAGATATGGGCAAATGTAAAACATAGCCTAAAGGGAGTATGAAGTATGGGAGAGTTATAAAAAATAGTTTAATGCAAGCTCTAGCAAGACATTTAATTTCAAAGAGAATGATCCTATTTCATGCAGACATTTGAATACACAGGAAGTGCTGACTACATAATTCACAGGATGCAGTATACACTCTAAATCAATGACAATCATAATGTACAGTATCTCCACATTAGGGAATGCATGAGTCCAGAAGTCAAGGTTGGTAGTAGAAGCACCCCCGTCTAACAGCACTCACAGTGAGTCACTTTAGGATTTTGTGCTTCAGGTCTCCACAGTATGGCCTCTGCATGTTTAGAGGTCTTGCTTCCTAAAGGGAAAAAACTTCCAGAGACATGGAAAAAGCCCCATTAAGTTTCAAATGATGGGGCTGCCTGGCACTTCAGATTTCTCATGCCAAGAAGAGGAGTCACTGTCCTGACAGAGGTAATTGACCTGCTCATCAGTGTCGTTGTGTGACCATGGCTATGGGTATGTACTTGTACCCTGCTGTGCTCAGTCAGGGTCTGGGAACAGCCCAGGAGCAACCACAGTGCATACACAGTGGAGGATGCAGATGGGTGTCAGTCAGTTATGCTCTCACAGCAAGACATCTGAGTGGTGTGATCTTAAATGAGACAGCTTCCTTCAGCTGAGGGCCATCATCAAAGAGTGCTGAGGGCTGAGGTCTGTCAGAGGACTGCACCTCCAAACCAGGAAGAATAAGCCAATAATCCTGAAGATGGATCTGGGCAACACAGCATAGCCTTCACTAGAGTCTACTCCTTGGGACATGTGGATCAACTTTTTTTTTTAATGAGATATAATTGACATATAACATTATATTTGTTCTACGTGTACAGAACAATTTTGCAATATATGTATGCGTTGGGAATTATCACCACAATAATTCTAGTTAACATCCGTCATCACAGGTAGTTACAAATTTTTTCTCGTGATGAGAACATTTCAGATGTACTCCTTTAGCAACTTTCAAATATATAATACAGTATTGCTAACTATAGTCACTTTTTGTACATTACATCCCATGACATGTATTTTGTAACAAGAAGTTTGTACCTTTTGACAACCTTCGCCCATTCACTTCAACCTCTGACAACTACCAATCTGTTCTCTGAATTTCAGTTTTTGTTTTTTGTTTGTTTGTTTGTTTGTTTGTTTGTTTTTAAAGTGGACAATTTATATTGAAAGAAATACAATGATAGATAAAGCTACAAAAAGATATAAATCTACCTAAGTAAACTAATTAATTTAAAACAATTAAAAAATATTACCTGTACATCAGATTTATGAACATTAACAAAAAATTAACAACACACAATTCCCTATTGATGAGCATTTGCTTTCTTTAAATATTTTTGCTATTACCAACAATATTGAAATGGACATTTTGTAATTATTGCAAGCGCTTCCATATGACACTTTAAATATAGACATGACTAAATAGATCGTGTTTGTTTTTAAGGCTGTCTTGATCAGTATGTTAAAGAGGAATACAACATGTGTCAATAATACTTATCCTGGGATTTTAAATATGCTTTAGGAAATATTTTTACAGTCATTTCTTGCATAAAGATATGAATACAAAAGATGCAAGTTCAACAGAAATCAAAATGTATTTAATAATTTTAACAGACTTTGCTGCTAATGGTGAGGTGTACGTGTACAGGGCGATGCAGGCTCTCAAAGTAGGAAAATAAAGATATATATTTCAAATGATAAATAATGTGTGGTTTTCAATGAATAATATTCTTTTGAATGTGGAAGCATTAAGAAAGGACAATTAATGAGCATATAAGAATTGCTGCTATGAACCATAAGGATTTAATATTATTCTGACAATTGAAACAAATGCATAAGACGAAAAAAGAAAGAGGACATAAGCATTGTAAATCAAAGATAAATGAATCATTAGTAGTACATAAGATGTTGGAGCTAGAGAGACCTCACGTCTCTGAAGATGCCCCAGCCCCATGTGGATCCTTCATCATCTGTTTCAAGAAGTCCCCCAGGGCAGTTGATTTCAAATTTTAGCCATGCATAACATCCACCTGGATGGCTTGTTAAACACAAATGGCTGAGTTAGACCTTAGGGTTTCTGATTTAGTAGATCTAGAATGATAGACAAAAATTTGCATGTCTAACAAGCTCCCAGGGGATGCTTATGCTGCTGGTCTGGGGACACTTTGAAAAACATTTGTTTGTATTCCTAGTACTGTGGTCTAGTAAAAGTTTCCCTTCCACTCTTTATATCTTCCCTCCCCCGCCCCACATCCCGTGTTTACTAGGATACAGGGGCTCTTTCAGATGGCATCATGGAAACCCCTGGGGGCCCTGGCTTTGTCTACTATAATGACTTTTCCCCAGGAAGTATAGGGAGAAGATCCAGGCAGGGAATTCAGAAC